GCTTCAAGGGGTATCAGGATTCCACCCTTTGTATTTTAATGCATCTCTAACTGAGATATCCGAATCATTTTCAAATATTTTATTGTAAAATATTTTATTGTAAAATATTTCCTCATATTCCTCAATGACTGGTTCAGCATTAACGAGATTGTATTGCCCAGTACTATTAGTATCCATATATTCTGACTCATTACTATAATATCCTTTAAGGACTTTTGTAAAGCACTTGCTTGGATCACGAGCCAGAGTCCAGATTGGGTTAACCCGAGGCCCACGGGTTGTTTGCAAGTTTTCAGGTGACTCATGTATCCAGTAGGCACCAGTTTCTACCTGGACTCCCATTAAACTTGCATTTCTCATTCTTCCTCCAATTCTCTCGCTGTTAGCTTCCAGTATTTTGATATTAGTTATCCCACTGTCGTGCAGTGTTCTCGCAGCAGTGATGCCAGCCATACCAGCTCCAAGTATCAGGACTTCAGCATCTTTTTTAGCAGGACATTTCAGAGAAACAACTCCTTCAGCTACAAGAAATAATAGCGCAATCGAGAACATCTTCATCCTCTTGTCAATAGCTAGGCGGATGGGGCGCGACTAATTAACTTTCACGGTTTAATACTGAGCTATGAATAATCATTTATTCAATGGGTTATAATAGGAGCCCACTACTACTCATGCATGCATGGAATCATCAGCCAGTAATTCTGTTGCTAGAGGCAGCAACACTAACTCCATGAAATTGCTGATGATATATCTTGTGTTCAGTTTCTCATTCACTCAGTGTGGTGGTGATAAAATCGTGGACAATCAAGATGGTGAATTTTATCAAAGAAAGTAATATACATGTATATGCCCACAAATTTAATGCAGTGACATTAAACTACCTTAAGGAGACAATTATTAGCATGTACTTATTTTAGCGGTTTTCATGAAACTAACATTTGGCTGGTACTTAATTTAGCGTTTTTGATCATTTGGTATTAATAACTACTAGAAGAATGTAAAACATTAAAGGGACGAGCCTAAGTAAGCTATGGATCTGATTGTGCTATGATCTACATGTATGAGCAAGCAAAGCAATTGCACAAGTCTAAATACCGTACTGAGATCTTGTTCAGCCCAAACGCAACCGTCAAAAATTCCTTTTAGAAAGGGAAGTTTTACTTGCAGAGGACCGCCCACGCACTTCCGTAATGGCGATTTGCTTATTTATGACAAAATAATCTTTAAAAAAGAATATAAAATTAATTCATGATGCTATGAATTAATAATGAAGAACACATGTTGTAAAAATGAATACATTTACAGCAGACATCTTACCGTGGCTCAGCCTCTAGTAGTTCAAGGTCAGTGAGAAGATATCTATGATAGGTACAGCTGTTTGTGGATCATTTTAAAAGCTAGAACAATCCTGTCTTTTGAATGCTACAATTGCAATACTTGTGTTATAAATATAAAAAGTTGTGCTCCATAACATATTGCATTTTCACAACTGTCTTAAGAATATTGCAATTTATATATCAAAATATAAAACGGTCGAGTTAGTCTAACATAAATTCACTGTCAAGCAATGAATTGCTCTCTAGGTGGTTAATGGGACTCCTATATGATGTACTATTTATCACTGTCCTCCAATGAGAAACCCTTCTTCAATAAATACTGTGTATACAATAAGTAATTTATGCATATGAGGCTTGATTTAAGACCAATGATGTATCCAAACTCTTGAGTTTACTGTCATCATGGTAAACATCAATGGTTAAAAGAGCTATTATTAAGTATGGTAAGGATGATTAAAACATACAAATGGGTAAACAACAGTAAACCTCATTGATAAGCATTGAAACTGTGGCTAAGATTAATAAACATAGGTAGCTAAATACATACATACATATGATATACAGTGGTAAACATGGGTCAACAGTGATTTACAGTGTTAAACACAGGTAAACATAAGTAAACAAAGATATACAGTGATAAACATTGGTCAACAGTGATTCCAGACTATTATACTGTTAAGGTAAGCAATTCATGTAA